TCTTGCTAAGCAGATGTCAGACATAGAAGGCTGCTCCTGACCCCCAAACATATCTAAACTGATAAACCACTTTGGGCTAGATTTCTCGCACAACTCCAGCTCCCAGTTATAATCTTATCAAGGGAGGATCCCCTGTACCTCCTGTCTTGGTTTGGGCCTGACTCATCTGTGCTGCCCGTTTGAAATTTCTAAGAAAGGAAAAATAAGAGTTAAAGGTGGAGTTACTGCTGATTCTGACCTAACTTAAACTTGCTGTCAAGGGATTTCTGTGGAACGCATTCCTTCTCATTACTGTTTTGAAATAATTTGGCCAAAAGCATGAAGGAAAGACAGATGCTTACTATTAAATACATACAACTAGATACCAGGACGAGCTGAACTTTAGCTATCAAATCCAGTCATTAGCTTTAATTTTCATTAGATGTAATCTCTAGCTGTGGACTATAATAGTTGTATTCAATTCTAGCTACAGATAACCTACTGTCTAGTTCTGTGGAGAATGCAGATCAAGAAACTTTGCCCACCTTAGGTACCAAACTACCTGCACTGCAGCGCTCTGCATGTTCCACACCTCTTACCCAAGCAAATCGTTGCACCAAAGAGCAAGACTACAGGCCTAAATCAACTGGTAGAAAGACTCCTACAATGGCCTCCCCAGTACCAGGAGGCCCTTTTCTTCGTCCTGTTCATCAAGTACCCCTTGTTCCCCATGTACCAATTGTACGACCTGCTCACCAACTGCATCCAGGATTGGTCCAGAGAATGCTGGCACAGGGGGTTCATCCACAACATCTTCCTCTACTGCAAGCAGGTAAGCCATACTTTTTTTCCTGTAAGTTGATGCATGTTCTCTGTAAGACTGACTTTGTTAGGAACACCACAAACTGATACTCGTTACTGGTGATGTTTATTACATCAAAACTTACCTTTAAAACTAGGCAATAAATCCCAACCCATCTAAATGTATAAATGTTTGGTTTGCTTCAAGTTCCATATGTTTATTAGGTAAAACGTTTCCTTGCTCTTGTTCAACAGGTATGCTTCCTCCTGGGGTGGACCTGTCTCACTTGCAGGGAATATCTGCTCCCATCCTTGGCCAACCTTTCTACCCACTACCAACAGCCAGCCATCACATCTTAAATCCACGCTCTGGGACGCCTTTGCAGCTAGCAATGATGCAACAGCAACTGCAACGATCAGGTAGGCTAAAAAATAAAACAGGAGTGTGAGTTTTGGTACTTGGAGCAGGCTAGTCAGTGCTCTATGTGTGTTGGCCTGTTTCAGTATACTGGGCTAACAGGAAGCTATTTTGGTAATTTAGATACTCCTAGTCACTAATCTTGTGTGGATATTGGAGCAGTTTTGGCCACTGCAGGCTCTTATGCCAGAAGAAAGTCCAAGTGGAGCATTCGGTTTCAAGATCTATGTTGCTATTGACAGATCTGACATTTGCAGCATGTGTGTGGTCTGTCCTCCTTTGGTGGGTGAGAGGGGCCACCCCCCTGTCTCAGATAAAATGCTATTTGGTGCGGATCTTCCAGTTAAAACCTGTACAGTACTGTGTCCAGAACTGGCAGCGTCAGGCAGTTTATGGGAGTACTAACAACAGAACAACCATGTGGTGTCTGGATTTCCTGGGGCTCATGGAATGAGTAGAAAGCTACAGTTGGCTCGCATGCCTCATCAGGCGATTGCTCCGGGCAAATCTCAGTGTTGGGTGAACATATTACTCCACCTCTAACAGCTCTACATTTTACAGGCAGCGGAGCACAGGGATCACCTGCTGGTGCACAAACAACCCCTCAGAACGTGCTGTCTCGGACTGGATTATCTCATGGGCACACACAGCTTGACCATCGCCCCAGCCAGAGAAGTGGCTCTCCCATTGGCCTTGCAAAATGGTTTGGTTCGGATGTCTTGCAGCAGCCTCTACCTTCCATGCCATCCAAAGTCATCAGTGTAGATGAACTGGAATACCGGCAGTGAACAGTGACCACTGGGTGGGACACTTGTGATTCTTTAGACTGGATAAAAACGTCCATAGTCAGGACTTCACCTCTGTTTGTTTTTTGGGGCTTTTATTTTTAGCACTCTGTGCAAAATTTCTTTTTGAGAGACTAAAGCACATGGCACCTGTCCTGGTCTCATGTCTGCATCAAGACTAAAGGATCCATTATGGCTTGAATAGTGAAGCCTGAAGAAAATTAGATGCAAGACAAAGCCAGTTTAATCCTGGAAGTGTCTATTTTTTGTTTTTGTAAGATATGTGAATGAAGTGCTGATATTCTCTAGTGTAGAGGTAGCAGCTATGGATTCCTCCTGCAGAAAACTAAATGTATAGACCCTTGTGTACAGACTTGTGTATAAACAATCTTTTGTATATATACACATAGAATAGCCTTTTTGAATCTATACAGCTGTACATAAGAGTAGCTGATAACAGTTGAGCTTTAGTTGTGCCTATGGTTTGGATCTTTCTCCATTGTATGTGTGGGACTTTAAGATTAAAGTTGCATATCCTAAGTGTGAGTGAACAGGATAAAGTTGCTTTGCCTTTCCTTGCTGCTCATCTCCTCTAGGTCTCCCTCTCGCATTCTTCTGTCACGTACTGTGCACTCAGTGTAGCTAAAGTGTCAAAGTAAAAAGCCCACATCTTGCTGTCTGTATAACAAAGGTCTGATTCCTTGTGTGTATGACTCTTGCCATCAAATGAGAGAGTTGTTTAGTCTTCAAACAGCCTTGGGGACAGGACCTGGCACAGTAACGATGAAGCCAGATCTTCAGTCTGCCATAAGCAAAGAGACTGTAGGTACCTACTGGTTGTAGCTCTTTCAAGAGGGCTGGTGCTGGTCCTTGTTTAGCTGCAGTATTTTCCTTGTTTTAATCTTTCAAACCTGAAGGTCAACCTTTCAAACGGAAGGTCATCAAAATGGAGCCTTTGAATCCTCACCCTTCAACTCCTCAGTCAGAGCTGTGGTATGTTCTATGCTGCCTGCAGCGCTATTTACAGAAGGGAAGCCCAAGAACTGTCCTCAATCTAGTGTGTATCTACCGATGCAACTACTGTGAAACTTGCCTTTGGAGTCTTGTTCTGTGGCTTGAAAGGGGGAGGATAGGGTAGTTTTGTGATCTTGCTGTGTATATTTGGTTTTAAAATACTATGTTCCTTTTAAGCCTGTTTCACTTTCCTGAGCAGTTAAGTGTTCTCTTCCATCTTTCTACTGCATGGTTCCGCACTTCACTTTCTCACTTGTGTTGAGTCGAGTATGCTGTCATGTCCTCTATCTAGCTTAGGCCATTGTGCTCTTTTTTTAAAAGGTGAAAGCAAAACCAGAATTCTCACGGACTTGCTCTTTCTTTGGTCTCACTGAACGCAAAGCCAGCAGCAGGAAAAAAAAAAATCACTTGACTGTATTATAACAATTGCCAGCATGCTGTGGTGGGTTTGTTTCAGTCCAGCAGAGACGATGTTGTACAGAAATAGCAAGCTGAAATCTCCAATGTGGAATCTGTTGGGGGGTCACCCAAACTCCTAGTGGTTGTTCCTAAAACAATCTGTGTAAAAACATGCAATCACCAGCTTGTCCTTGTAAGATTGTTTTCATACTTTTTTAACTTGACACTTTCCCAGTAACATTCTGTAAATAAAGTTGATTCTACCAGCTCTCTGTATCAACTGCTCTTGAACTAAACTATAATGTCAGCATATTGATTAACTTTTAGCACTGTTCTTGTGTGTAACCTAAAACTACTGTTTGAACCGCATCTGCAGAGAACTTCAACTTTATTTTCCATGTGGGAGAGAGGAAGAGTCTGTGGTGATGAAGGTAACTGGTGTCACTGGAGACATGCAAGGGAATAGCTGCGATCTCAGCTGATAATGTAACAGCAGTAGCCTTAATTATTAAAAGTTGGTTCTAGACAGCCGTGGCTAAGTGTAAGGAATAAGATTCCAGTGTACTAGAACTGATCTAACTAACCACTTCTAAAGAAAGGATGAGCAGGGAACCTCACTCACAGCTTTGCCTCTACCCCCTTCCAGTCAAGCTGATAAGCCCAGCACTGCTGCAGTAGTTCAGCTGCCTTATGCAGGAATCTACTTCTAAGCTTAGAAAAACTATGAGGGCAAAAAACTTTAACTAGAGGCTTGAATGCTTTCTCACCAGGTTAAGCAGCAACCACTGCTGCAAGGATTTAGTGCTGGAATGGGTGTCTGAAATCACTGTAGTTTTTTTATATGTGCAATAACATGAGAAAGAGTATTTTTTAACCCATTTAAGTAAACACTGCTACTTCCTTTCTGTAGGAGAGCAAAGGCTAGAAGCTAACACATTTGATAAGGTTCTTGCTCATGTTAGAGCTCTAACTTTATTCAGTTCTACTGAAAAGCAACAGAACCACTGCTTCTAGAGTAGCCTGCTTCTCTTGTGCAACTTACTTGACTTGTCTAAACTGAGCAAGAAATTCTTTTAAGAAAACTTAAAAGCTTCCAGTCACTAATGCAGTACAACACAAGCATCTAGCTTACTTTTGCTTGTATAAACAACTGAAAAAGTGACTGCTCCTGAGCAGAACCCACCATCTTTGCCACAACTGCAGGACTATTAATAGCTTTGAAGTATTTAATCTGAAATGTTTAAGGCAGCCAGAGCTAGAACTCTGTGTCCTCTAGCACTGCTTCCTAAGATACAGTTCTTCAGCCTCTGCTTTTCATGTTTTGTTCTCATTTGGAATAAAATAATTCCTTTTTTTTCAATTTGAAAAGATGCACATGTAGCAGAAAATCATCCCAGGCATCAAAACCTCCTTGTAAGATTCTGCCTTTTTGAAAGTCATTTGATAGGAGTTTCTGCAGTACAAGTTAGCCAGAAATCTTAGTTTTACCATACATTAAGGTACTACCATAAAAAAACAACACCCATTTGCTATGCATTTGATAGAAATGGCCTGTTCTTTGCCACTTACGACTAATGACAAATTTCAGGCACAGTGGCAAACTGTGTGAGAACAACTTTATTTCTTCACAATCTGAATAACATCCTCATCTTCAAGAGTATGGTCTTTACCAACTTTTTGAGGGTTGTGTTTAACAGATGAACCCCAGACCAGCGCACTGAAAGGAGAAGAAAAATAAAATTTAAAAGGCTTACAAGTATAATATGCAAACAGCAGAACAATGGCTATTTCTGTCACAAAGCTAATACAGAAAGCAATGCTTAAGAGCTATTTTTATTCTCCTGCAAGTACCTGGATGAGTGGTCCGTGTGAACCAGAGTACAAGCAGATCAAAACAAAGTATGAAGTCATCCAAAATACTTGCGCATACAGGACAATAGCCCGTAATGCTGCAGCTAGTGCTGCTTTTCTATAAAGAAAAACATTTTCTCCATAGAGGAAAATCATCCAGGAAAGAGCACAGGAACACCAAATACAGTAACTTAAGTATTAGGTTTAATTGTCACAGGGAGATGTATTCTATTCAACATTAAAAAAAATAAAATAAAATAAAATCCTGTTTTCCCTTCTAGTTTACAAGAGAATGAAAGAATATATCAGGAAACAGATAACTTTCTATTCTCTATAAATTATTCTTTTCCAATAACACTTACTATTTAAAGTCTTTAATGAGATTTTTGTGGATCTTCATGCAAAAATCCTCCACTGTGGTCTTGCAGTAAGGTAGTACCACAGGAGAGGTGTAGTCTGGGAGCTGCCCTTTAGGTTTGGTGTAGCTGTAACACAGATGGAATAGTCAGTCAATACCAAAACCTCATCTCTTTCAACCCATCATGAAATTCCATAGGTCATTCGCACCATCATTAGAGGTGCTTGTGCCAAGTTCCACTATTACACTGGTGAAAACAGATACTCTGTAAATTGTTTGGTGTTCTGAAGCTGGAAATTAATCTGGATAGCCAATGGCTGCAGCAGGGTCCCCCTTGTAACTGGAATGGTTTATCACTAGTGAGCTTTCTGTAGTTGCTTAAAGAAGATGAAAAAGGAATAGTTGATGGAAAAGAACGTCTATAGTGTTATGGTGCTGACTTACGGGTTTTATTCTGTGAAAAATTCAACCTAGACATCCTAAATGCCTTTTTACAATAGATTTTCTATTGTCACAAGACGATAGATACAAGTTTAAAAGACTACAACTGCTATACTATGAGTATAAGTAGATTCATTCAGAAGTTCAAAAGACTACAATTACTATGAGTATTAGTAGATTCATTCATAAATTGATCCAAAGAAATGCATACTACTAGTATGCATACTTCATACTACTAATATAAAGTAAACCTGTAATAATTTATAGTAAAAATATCTGAAAGGCTAGATGAAGAACTAAATTCTGTTCTGTTAAGCAAGCCAGATGCATGTCACTCATGACAGACTGAAAAGAGGTACCTCTGAAATTCACAACTTTGCACTGTTTGACTAGAATTCCGTATTTTCAGGGTTTTTTTTAAGATGTACTTTGGACTTGGTTTCACAAGGTCCTCATTTAATTCCCCTACAAGTCCAAAAAATAGCACTTGTGACTGTTAAGAAACTGTCTATCACACAACAGGCAAGAGGAGCACAATTTCCAATTTACAGTGTAAACATACTTCAGTGACAAAAGACATCACCATTGGAAAGCTAGAGTTCTAAGCTAGTAGAAAACCATTATAAAATAATCATCATTCAACCATTCCTGAGACTTTCTTCAGCCTCAGCCTTATATTTAACTCCACAGAAGGCAGCAACTGCGACTCACATTCGTACTAGCTTCAAGTAATCCCAAATTTTCTCCAGCAGATCATCAAAGTTCCAGCGATGATGAGCAGATATTGGGACACAGTGGGGTACTTTGTAAATAATATCTAGTTCCTCAATGGAAATCTGGTCAATTTTATTCAGGACGTAAATGCATGGGATGTAAACCCTACAAAGAGAAGGAAATACTGTTACAGCAGCCTAGCAGCAATACACCGCAACCTTCGAAAAAGCTTCATTTTTTAGAAGGACAGCAAGGTGCTAAACAGCACTTGTTGATGCCACATTGCTAACTTAGCTTCTGTGGGAAGCAAACCTCACAGACAATTCTTTTCTGTAGAATATAAATTGCAAGTATGCCAAACCCAGGGTCCCAACAGTACCTGTTCCCTTCAACGACATCAATTAGGTCATCAGCAGTGGCATCGCTGCGCAGTGTGACATCAGCATTGTGAATTTTATACTCTGCTAGGATGCTCTTCACTGTTTCAGTATCCAGCTCACTCTGAGGACACTGAACGGAGACAGAGTATTAAGGAATGAGTTTACAGTCAAATCAAGTATTACAATTAATAACACTATCACCTAGCAATCGCTGCATACAGGTTACTAAAAATAATAGCGGTATTGTTAAGTTATTGAAGTTGACTATGATTTTACCATAGTTAGCCTCAGAAGATAGGAAAAAAAGATTTAAATGATGACAGCTTTATTTATATTATATATGACAGCTGCAATCAGACATTTCACGAGTAATGTTTCCTGTCAATGTGGGACTAGTTGCAATACAAACCCACATATCTACTAGTTCGGTGCGCAGACAATTACATATTACGTACCTAGATTCCAGAGCAGAGTTCTGATTTTTGGTATCTCTGGCTATTTCTACATTTTTAAAGATTCAGAGGTAAATTGAAAATAAGGAGTAGTCCAGGTTGCAAGGCCTGGAACTCTGAGCATCCTTCTCCAGAAGAACACTATAGTCACCAAGCGAGAGGGAGTTTTTGCACACTCTCCTCTGAGCCTTGGAACTTGTAATTGTTGGAAAGCGACCAAGCCTCTGATTTGGGGGTGAAGAGGTAGTCAGGCTCCGAGGACAGGTATGGATGGCCTCCAAGAGAAGTAACTGACTACAGCATAGTAGTTCAGCTTCTGAAGAAGTCACAGCACAGGAACGGTCCCAGACATACCATTAACTACAAATGCCTCTTTCTTCAAGCAATTTTTTTTTGTTGTTTTGGTTAAAGAAAACTTCCAACTTACTGTGGCTGTAAGGTTAATGCCTCCTTTATCCTTTTTCTTAAAGCCAATATTGGGGGGCTTACTATTCAGACGAATTCCAAATCCCTCCAGTTCATTCTCAATTATTTTCTTGTGACCAAGGGGTTTCAGTACATCCAGAACAATAAGAATGAGATTGCAGGTTCGAGCAACTAAGAATCGGAAAAAGAAAGTAGTCTCTTGAAAAAGTACACTCACTCAATCTCAGACAAAACAACACAAAATATGGCTCAGTGGACTGATGACAATATTAAACCCCCGAAGGCCAGTTCATCGCTTATTTTTAAATTCCAGTATAACACTGAAGTTTGTGGTGCTGGACAAGCATCCCAGATAGTCAGATCCTTACATGTTATAACAATCACAGAGGCTGGAAAAACCTCCCTTCCTGTCTACATTCAGATCCCAGAACGATGACAATAAGATAAGTAAAGAAATTAAGACAGCAGCCTTGTTTAACATGAGATCACATCTACCTTCAAAATTGGTAATATACTTTCGTGCAGTGACAACACAGAGCACAAACTCAGCAAATGCAAAAAGCCAGAACTGAAAACAGAACAAAACAAAAATGGCTACTGCTTCACAGCACGCAGCTCAATTGCAGCACACAATTCAGCTTTTAAAAGACATGAGAAACCGTAGTTCAACCCTTCATTCTCATAAGCTGTACTAACTGAATCAGTGATAGGATGCTGCCTCCAGCTCTAATACACTCACCCGCAATGACTTGCCGTCCTCTGCCTTTACCATCTTTGGCACCTTCAATAATTCCTGGGAGATCAAGTAGCTATTTGTTCAAAGAAAAGAAGGTAACTCGTGAGAAAAATATTTTTCTTTGTGGAGAAATCCTACTTTTACCTTTCTACTAAACCAGCTGACTCTACTGCAAATCTGAATAGAATGTGGCAAAATTGTTTCCCCTTTGATTCTTATAGATTCTCTTATCCCATGTGCCCTATTGGTAAAATGGAACAGATCATCTCATAGAGAATATGAGTACTACGACAGCAAATTCCCAGAGCAAAGTGAACAGCAGGGTAAAATTAGTACCTCATGGAAACATTTGCAATGTATTCTCAAGCACTTCTACAGGTCACTTCTAACCTGGTAATATCAGGACAGACCATTCAGCCATTACTTCTATATATACCATCTTATCCTCACAGACACAAAAAGATCTCACCTGTATCTTTGCTCCTTTGTATCTAATGACTCCAGGCACAGTAGTCAGGGTAGTGAATTCATATGCTGCCACTTCAGAGTAAACACCAGCCAGATTACTTAGAAGAGTAGATTTCCCCACTGATGGAAAACCCACAAACCCAATTCGGGCATCACCTGTCTTTGCCACGTCAAAGCCTGCAAATAAAGAGCAAAAACATTTGTTTAAAGATGGCCATTTTCTATCTGCTAAGGTTCTGGACAGCAGTCCCCCTATTAGTTTCAACATTGCCTGAGTGAAACCCAGGCAAGCTTCCCTACAAGGAGAATGAGAGTATGAAACTGAGAGTTCACAATCTATATCGCCTTGCATCACTTTGTCTGCATAACGCTCCATGGCATGTACCTGTCGACAAAGTGTAGGCTGCAAGGCTTCCCAGTGGGCTATACCTGCCTTGGGTGTAGGTGGAGCATTCCCTGTAAGCACTGCAGCTCCCACAATTCACGTCTTTATACATAAATATAGGCACCCCCTGCAAGATGCTGCTTCATGTGAAACCCCTAAGACTTCTGCAAATACAAGACTGTATTAGCCAAAACACAGAAGTCCTCTCATTTACAATTCAACAACGGCTCCACCCCAAAGCCCGAGAAAGTACCACAAACCACGGCTAAGGTCCTGTACGGGAAGGACAAGAGGGAGAGAAGGTGGTTGCTCCGATTTATTCAGCAGACAGTCCGACACGATTCAAGCGGACAAGAGCCACCCCCGCGAGATCGATTTCCGTCACGCACCCCGCACTTCAGCGGGGAGGAGCGGCCACTTCTGCAGAGGCCGCCGCGGCAGCTGGAGCCTTCCCGCAGAACAACGCACCTTCCCCGGGGCCGCC